TCTATTCTCCGTCTTACTCTTAATTCTTTCAATTATAACTCTACCATACACTTTACAGGTACACTCAACAGACTTATCCCCTATAATTTTTGCACTCTCTTTTATCCCCTTTGCCTTTATACAAAGGAACTATGCATGCTCTCTGCCAATCCCTAGGTACCTTACCCTCTTCCATACATTTATTAAATAATTGCACCAACCACTCCAAAACTACATCCCCACCTGCTTTTAAATTTCTATCTTTATCCATCAATCCCGGCTGCCTTACCCCCTTTCATTTTACCTACTGCCTCACGAACTTTCCCCACACTCACAACTGGCTCTTCCTCACTCCTACAAGATGTTATTCCTCCTTGCCCTATACACGAAATCACAGCTTCCCTATCTTCATCAACATTTAACAATTCCTCAAAATATTCCTTCCATCTTCCCAATACCTCTAACTCTCCATTTAATAACTCTCCTCTCCTATTTTTAACAGACAAATCCATTTGTTCTCTAGGCTTTCTTAACTTGTTAATCTCACTCCAAAACTTTTTCTTATTTTCAACAAAATTTGTTGATAACATCTCACCCACTCTCTCATTTGCTCTCTTTTTACATTGCTTCACCACTCTCTTAACTTCTCTCTTTTTCTCCATATACTCTTCCCTCCTTGACATCACTTCTACTTTGTAAAAACTTCTCATATGCTAACTTTTTCTCCCTTACTACTCTCTTTACATCATCATTCCACCAATCGCTCTCTTCCCTCCTGCACCCACTTTCCTGTAACCACAAACTTCTGCTGAACACTCTAACACTACATTTTTAAACCTACCCCATACCTCTTCGACCCCATTGCCTATGCTCTCATTAGCCCATCTATCCTCAATAGCTGTTTATATCTTACCTAACTGCCTCCTCTTTTAGTTTATAAACCTTTACCTCTCTCTTCCCTGATGCTTCTATTCTCCTTGTATCCCATCTACCTTTTACTCTCAGTGTAGCTACAACTAGAAGTGATCTGATATATCTGTGGCCCCTCTATAAACATGTACATCCTGAAGTCTACTCAACAGTCTTTTATCTACCAATACATAATCCAACAAACTACTGTCATTTCGCCCTACATCATATCGTGTATACTTATTTATCCTCTTTTTCTTAAAATATGTATTACCTATAACTAAAACCCCTTTCTATACAAAGTTCAATCAAAGGGCTCCCATTATCATTTACACCTGGCACCCCAAACTTACCTACCACACCCTCTCTAAAAGTTTCTCCTACTTTAGCATTCAAGTCCCCTACCACAAATTACTCTCTCACTTGGTTCAAAGGCTCCTATACATTCACTTAACATCTCCCAAAATCTTCTCTCTCTCCTCTGCATTCCTCTCTTCTCCAGGTGCATACACGCTTATTATGACCCACTTCTCGCATCCAACCTTTACTTTAACCCACATAATTCTTGAATTTACACATTCATATTCTCTTTTCTCCTTCCATAACTGTCATTTAACATTACTGCTACCCTTCCTTTGCTCTAACTCTCTCAGATACTCCAGATTTAATCCCATTTTTTTCCCCCCCACTGAAACTCTCTACCCCCTTCAGCTTTGTTTCGCTTAGGGCCAGGACATCCAACTTCTTTTCATTCATAACATCAGCAATCATCTGTTTCTTGTCATCCGCACTACATCCACGCACATTTAAGCAACCCAGTTTTATAAAGTTTTTCTTCTTCTCTTTTTTAGTAATTGTATACAGGAGAAGGGGTTACTAGCCCATTGCTCCCGGCATTTTAGTCGCCTCATACGACACGCATGGCTTACGGAGGAAAGATTCTTTTCCACTTCCCCATGGACAATAGAAGAAATAAAAAAGAACAAGAGCTATTTAGAAAAAGGAGAAAAACCTAGATGTATGTATATATATATATGCATGTGCGTGTCTATGAAGTGTGACCAAAGTGTAAGTAGGAGTAGCAAGATATCCCTGTTATCTTAGCGTGTTTATGAGACAGAAAAAGAAACCAGCAATCCTACCATCATGCAAAACAGTTACAGGTTTTTGTTTCACAGTCATCTGGCAGGACGGTAGTACTTCCCTGGGTGGTTGCTGTCTACCAACCTACTACCTACACTGTCTATGTACTCCTTGAATTCCTTCACATATTTTTCAGCCGCTTTTTGGTCTGAACTGGCAGCCTCACCATGCCTTATCACACTATGCATTCCACTACAATTCTTATATCTCTCAAACCAACCTTTGCTGGCTTTAAATTCACTCACATCACAACTAGTTACAGGCATTTTTCTAATTAAATCCTCATGCAACTTCCTAGCCTTTTCACATATGATCGCTTGAGAGATGAAATCTCCTGCTATCTGTTTTTCGTTTATCCACACCAATAACAGTCTCTCAACATCTTCTATCACTTGTGATCTCTGTTTCGAAAACAAACTTGTGCCTTTTGCAAGAACAGCTTCCTTTGATTGCCGTTTTGTTGGCCAAGATAGCAGCGATGGTTGATTGGGGTTTGGTATACAACCTGGCCAGCTCCGAGACACGCACTCCACTTTCGTACTTAGCTATTATCTCTTTCCTCGTTTCCATAGTAATTTTCACCCTTTTTACCACAGGGTTGGCACTAGAGGGTTTCTTGGGGCCCATGGTGACTTATTTTGCAGCTACAAGCACTAAAATCACCGTGATAATATGAAATGTACCGAATGTATGCTTAGATGCGACCGCACTTGCTAGCTTGTAAACACTGGCACCCACGGGGCAGCTGAGGCCATGTGGGACGCGTCCCGGATGAATCGAGTGAGACAAGTTTTATATCGTGAGGTGAGGCAAAATTTTTGCATTCAAATGCTTCGTATAGCAGATTTAACGTAACGGAATGCGTTCGTAAGGTGGGGTCCACTGTACAGCCTCTCCTCACTTAACGACAGAGTTCTGTTCCTAAGACCTCATCGGTAAATGAATTCGTCGGTAAGTGAAGAGCATACTATAATGGTAGTGGGTTTGTGTTAACAATCTTTGACATTGTTTTAATGTCACTTTTGCACAATTTATAGCATTTCTGGTATATTTTTAAATGTTTATACAGTAGTGTACTGTACATATATTGTAATAAACAGAATAGAGGAAATCAGCTCTAACATACATTATTTAGGTATGAATACAGGTCAAAGAGCCCGTCGTAAGTCCGAGTCGTCGGTAAACAAGTACATCGTCAAGCGAGGAGAGGCTATATTACATGTCTCGCACCTTTAAACCTATAGCCAATAAGCATTTTTCAAGGTGATATTTGGATTCAAGACATGAAAATACATAAGAATTAACTAATCTCATTAAGAAGCATTCAAATTTTCGAAAACTGTTGATCAGCATACCCTTATCTCCTTACTTTTATCTATGTTCACTTTCAACTTACTTTCTTTACACACCCTGTGGAGAAATTTTCTCCAGAAGGGGAGGTATCAGCCCCTTTCAGCCCTTTTCAGCCCTGAAGGGCCAACCCTCTCAGAAGGGACAAGCATCTTGTTTACTGCTACATCAAGTAATTACCAGCAGATGTCTAACCAGCGTGTACGAGTTACATGGTCACGCGGCTCTTTGCAAGAGACCAGTGTTGCAAATGTGTAGTTTAAATAAGATACAATCAATCTCTTACCTTAGCAGGACAATTAAGGAAAATCCCATACCCACTTTATTACCATGGTAAAGATAGTGTACATTGTTGTATATGTTTAAGACAGCAAGAATCAAGCATTCTGCATTGCTTCATAGTGGAAGTTTGGCAAGGAGGGGAAATGTGCTAGGTCAGCTTTTCCTTTATGCTAGAGGACAAGCAAGGTGGGGCGAGAGGTGTCGGAGGTTAGATTGCTTTTGACCCTGCTGGGGAACACACTGATGCTGGGATAACCAACAAAGAACACTGATCCGAGCATTTTTGTGCATAAAAGTATCTCAATAGACACCTACAGAGAAGTGTGATCAGCTTCTTTACTGGCATTATGGTGAACAAATCTTGATGAACAGTGTAACAAAGTGTTGCGATCCTACGAGAAGTGCGATATTCTTCAACGAACACTATTCTTCAATCAAGACACCTATATACGAGTCACATATGGGTCCAATACAGATACCCAGGTAAGCCTCATAAGTAATGAGACTAGCTAGATCAGCTGCACAGCAGATAGCTACTGCATTTTTACTAGATGTACCATACACTCGGTTATGGGAGGGCCATCAAGCCCACACCCAATCAGTTTCTGAGATATGCTGACATAATACCCCCCTAGGGGCAATTATATTCACCCATAATAAATTATTTTCCAGCCCGTGAGGAAATGCATACGACAGCTTCTCAAGATATCGCCTGCAGGGACGGCTGTGTAGGCGAAAGCTGTTTTTCAAGCTAAGTTTCCCTACAGTCCACTATTTAATCTTTGACTTACCTTATAGCATTATCCTCAACACAACCTCCCAAACTCATCCACTAACCTTAGCAACTTTTCTTTAGATTCTCCCATAAGCACAGTATCATCAGCAAAAAAGTTACTGTTTTAACTTTCATTTTGCATTTGATTCGTTTTATTTCTTTTCATCTCCATGGAAGAAAGGAATAAGAATCTTTCCTCTGTAAATCATGCATGTCATAAAAACTGATTAAGATGCCAGAAGCATGGAGCTAGTAACCCCTTCTGTATAAATTACTAAAAGTAAGAAAGAAAAATAAATGTACTTATATTGAGCTAAAAAAAAAAAAAAGAAAAAAAAAAAATTTTTTTTTTACTTCTCAAACCCTAATTCTACCATAGTATTAATCTCCAGACCTGAAGCAATATTTTCATGGAATAAACAAGAGTTATACTGCAGCATTATCATTTCCAGTACTTATAGGCCATTAAATATTTTATTGAAAAAAAAAATTAAAACATTTAATTCAATAATTTAATGCCTATTAAAATTAATTTCAACAAAATACTACATGGTTAATTTACCTGCAAGCTGGAGGGACTTTGCCAAGGAACACTGCAAAAGTTACAGGAAGGCGAGGCTTTCTGGGATGCTGAGATTTTCCACCTCCCATTTGCTCCTGACCCTCATCATCCAGGTCTGCCGACCCTAGACGATCGTGCTCATTGGTAGCCTCTACAGTCCTCCTTACAATCCGGTTCTTCTTGCTCACATTAATTGTGACCTTTGTTGGATACTAAATATGAATGAACAATCAAATAAACAGATCATAAGTCACAACTGTCACATTAATATTGTTTTCTATCCACCACCTTCTATCAAATGGATTAAATTCTTCTGGATTAATGTTGTCTGCCCAGTTCCACATGCAGCTATAATATATAGTACACAGAGAGATTAACAGTCTAGTTCTTGAATAATATAGTGCAATTTTTTCTTAAGTTATGTACTTTCAAAAATAATAAGTTTTATAATTTATAATAGGCAAAATTCATTATTCTGTGATAGAGTCCAAGTATACTATTGTTTATGTAATTTGGATTTATTCAGCTTATGATGGGGTACAAACCTAATTGCCAACTATTACTTAAATGCACAATAAAGGACATATGGAAGTCTCCCTCACAAGGTCATGTTTACAACCAAGAACTATAAATCTTAGAAATAATTTTCAGTGTAAAATTAACCACTCACCTGGATATTTTTTTGTCCTTTATCTTCACTCTCTGATATATATCTGCCTCTTGCTCTACTAATTCCTCTACCTCTGCCACCAACTCGTGCTCCACGGACCCCTCGAGCACCACCACGTCCACGGCCACTAGCTCTTAGTTCTTCCACAGAGGGAAGGTCTGCTCCATCAGCTAAAGTTACATCTTTTCCTGCTCTAAATAAAAAAAATGAAGCATGAGAGATTTTTTAAGAAAATTTTTTTAACTAGCTTTATTTTGAATGCTGGGCAATCAGGCAAAATATCCCATCCCACAATAACCCTCTGCATAATTCAAATCTAGAGCAACCGTGGTAAATATAATAATTTCACACAGACATGTCTCCATGCCTTTTCTAAATTGACAAAATGAATAAGCAGAACCAGGTAGGGTTTCGGATTGTATACTCTCCTGGAGAGTGAGCAAGTTAACATCTATGAAGAGATTCAAGGAAATTTGTTAGCCAGACTTGAGTTCCAAAGAAATACAGTGCTGAAAGATGGGTGGGGATGTTGCAGTTTGGATGGTCACTTAAACTGCAGTGTCTGTACACTTCTGGAAAAGCAGTAATGGAATACAGGTCTGCCATCACAAATCCGGCAATCAGTTATTTGGTTTCTTCAGTTATTTGGTACTAATTTTGGATAGCATAATTTCAAATTTCCAGGGTCGCCACACCAACCTGCTGGTACTGTTTGGTGGCACTACTTGCTGCGTAAGTCATTCCAACTTCTTTTTCTCCATTTATTGTTATAACCTGTTTACTTTTAGCCCTAGCCATGGCTCCAATGAATACAAGAAATGCTTCTCATTATGTAAAGCACCTACACAGTACATTATCCATTAAAGATAAGGTGGCTTTGAAGCCACTGGCAGTTACCATGAGCTCAGTCTCATGATGCAGGAGAGTACACTTTATTATTATGCTAATATCAACATTACAGTTTGTTTGCCTATCACAATTGATCTAATATGACATAATAAACAATATAAATAACATAAAACATGTTAAATTTTCCAGAATAAATAATATTTGACATAATACCGAGCAGTTCGACAGAGGTATGAAGAGGATATGGCATACAAATACCATTCTCCTATCCCTGTCTTGGGGGCTTATATAAGAGAAAACGGAGTATAGCACAGGGATAACTGTGATATACACTCGTACTCCACAATAAACCTTAAACAAAAAAGTTATTTTCTCTATATAGATTATCACACACAGCAGCATATGTGTAGAGAACCTAGGATAACCCAAAAAAGTCAACGTGGCTTATTTCTAGACCTGGCTTGGGCTAGCCATATGTGATTTTTGGTAAATATTCGATTCCCAGTCACCGTAGAAACAATTGGCGTGTTTCTTTACACCTGTTGCCTATGTTCACCCATCAGTAAATGGGTACCTGGGTGTTAGCCAACTGGTGTGGGTGTTATCCTGGGACACTGACCTAATTTGCTTGAAATACTCAGCATAACAAGCGGCTTTCTATATAGTACAGTGGACCCTCGACCAACGCTGGCATTGTATAACGGTAAATCCGACTAGCGATACATTTTAATGCAAAAATTTTGCCTCAACTAGCGCTAAAAAACTCGACCAACGCGATTCATTCTGTTCGAGATGCGTCCACATGTGGCCTGAGCGCGCCTCACTTGTCCCGTAGGTGCCAGTGTTTACAAGCCAGCCAGCCACTGCGGTCCCATCCAAACATACAATCAGAACATTTCATATTATCACAGCGTTTTTAGTGATTGCACCTGCAAAATAAGTCACCATGGGCCCCAAGAAAGCTTCTAGTGCCAACCCTACAGCAAAAAGGGTGAGAATCACTATGAATATGAAGAAAGAGATCATTGCTAAGTATGAAAGTGGAGTGCGTGTCTACTAGCTGGCCAGGTTGTACACAAAACCCCAATCAACCATCACTACTATTGTGGCCAAGAAAACGGCAATCAAGGAAGCTGTTCTTGCCAAAGGTGCAACTATGTTTTCGAAACTGAGATCGCAAGTGATAGAAGATGATGAGAGACTGTTATTGGTGTGGATAAACAAAAAACAGACAGCAGGAGATTTCATCTCTCAAGCGATCATATGTGAAAAGGCTAGGAAGTTGCATGACTATTTAATTAAAAAAATACCTGCAACTAATGGTGATGTGAATGAATTTGAGGCCAGCAAAGGTTGGTTTGAGAGATTTAAGAATCGTAGTGGCATACATAGTGTGATAAGGCATGGTGAGGCTGCCAGTTTGGACCACAAAGCGGCTGAAAAATACGTGCAGGAATTTAAGGAGTACATAGAAAGTGAAGGACTGAAACCTGAACAAGTGTTTAATTGTGACAAAACAGGCCTGTTTTGGTAGAAAATGCCAAGCAGGACCTACATTCCTCAGGAGGAAAAGGCACTCCCAGGACATAAGCCAATGAAAGACAGGCTTACTCTGTTGATGTGTGCTAATGCTAGTGGTGATTGCAAAGTGAAGCCTTCATTGGTGTATCACTCGGAAACTCCCAGAGTGTTCAGGAAAAACAATGTCCTCAAGGCTAATTTGTGTGTGCTGTGGAGGGCAAACAGTAAGGCATGGGTCACTAGGGACTTTCTCTATGACTGGTTACACCATGCATTTGCCCCCACTGTGAAAAATTACCTCCTGGAAAATAAATTGGACCTTAAGTGCCTCCTGGTATTAGACAATGCTCCTGGTCATCCTTCAGACATGGCAGAGCGACTTTCTGCAGACATGAACTTCATTAAGGTGAAGTTTTTGTCTCCTAATACCACTCCTCTCCTGCAGCCCATGGACCAGCAGGTCATTGCAAACTTCAAAAAACTCTACACAAAAGCTATGTTTGAAAGGTGCTTAGAAACTCAAGAAACTCAACTGACTCTAAGAGAGTTTTGGAGAGATCACTTTAGCATCCTCAATTGTGTAAACATTATAAGTAAGGCTTGGGAGGAAGTGACAAAGAGGACCTTGAACTCTGCTTGGAAAAAACTGTAGCCAGAATGTGTAGACAAAAGGGATTTTGAAGGGTTTGAGGCTAACCCTGGGAATCCTATGCCAGTTGAGGAATCCATTGTGGCATTGGGGAAGTCCTTGGGGTTGGAGGTTAGTGGGGAGGATGTGGAAGAGTTGGTGGAGGAGGACAATGAAGAACTAACCACTGATGAGCTGCTAGATCATCTTCAACAGCAAGAGGCCAGACCTGAGGAAACTGCTTCGGAGGAGGGGATAGAGAAATTGAGGAAGTTGCCTACTTCAAAGATTAAGGAAATGTGTGCAATGTGGCTTAAAGTGCAAACCTTTTTTGATGAAAATCACCCTCACACAGCTATTGCAAGCTGTGCTGGTGACTATTACACTGACAATGTTGTGAAACACTTTAGGAATGTCATAAAGGAACGGGAGGTACAGGCCTCTATGGACAGATATGTTGTGTGACAGAGGTCCAGTGACTCTGAAGCTGGTCCTAGTGGCATTAAAAGAAGAAGGGAAGTAACCCCGGAAAAGGACTTGCCACCTCAAGTCCTAATGGAAGGGGATTTCCCTTCTAAACATTAACACCAACACTCTCCCCTCCTCCCATCCCATCAATCATCACCAGATCTTCAATAAAGGTAAGTGTCATGTAACTGTGCATGTCTTCTTCAGTTTGTGTGTATTAAAATTAATATTTCATGTGGTAAAATTTTTTTTTTCAATACTTTGGGGTGTCAGGAACGGATTAATTTGATTTCCATTATTTCTTATGGGGAAAATTAACTCAACTAACAATAATTTTGATTAACGATGAGCTCTCAGGAACAGATTAATATCGTTGGTCGAGGGTACACTGTAGTATGTCACTGATGTCAGCTAGGCCTGTATACCTTGTACATGTACGTGTAGTAGATAAAGATATTATTATTATTTTATTATTTTCTCAGTTGTTTGTTGGGTTATCTTACTGAAACTTGGGCAATGTATGATGGAAAGATACTTCTTAACGTACACCAAAAATGAAAGAAATCAGACCATAAATAGCGGAGTTCACTTCTTAGCCATTAGCGGCCGCTTAGCGGTATATTTTTGTATGGTTTTTATGGTTATATTCTCATTTTTTCAGTCACATTTGATAGAATGAAAGATATTTTACAGAAATAGATAAGATTTTGATTGTTTTCATGATGAAAAGTACCTTGAAAGTGCGCTCACAGTAGCGAAAATGTTATATTCTTCAGCGAAGCTCAAGCGTAAACATATGACATCACCGTCTAATACCTGTCCGCCTGCCAGTCCAAATTCCAATACGTAGTCAAGAATGGGTTGACATTATTTATACAATTATTACAATAATGCAGCAGTCTGCATAACAGTAAATCTTCTATTTTTTTGTGAATAAAAATTCCAAATGATAAGCAAGAGTAATATAAGAGGGACCTGTAGCCGTGACTAATGAACAGAGAAAATGTTATTTTAGTGCCAGGAATGTCCGCATTGTTTATTCTGGACCCTATTTTGAAATTGGCATTGTGGAAATTTGTGTGAAATCAGCCAAATTGCCAATTTCTGACCACTTTATTGGGAAGTTGAAATTAGTGAATGGGCGGTTTCTTGTACTCAGTTGACAGACTAGAAGTAAATAAGTTTATTCAGGTATACAGAAATACAGTTACATAGATTATCATACATAGTAACGTATGTATAGAGAACCTAGGATAACCCAGAAAAGTCAGACAAAGTGACTTATTCCCAGTACCTGGCTTGGGCTTGCCATATATGATTTTTGGTAAGTATTTTTTTTTCTCAGTTGTTTGTTGGGCTGTCTTATTGAAACTTGGGCAATGTATGATGGAAAGATGCTTCTTAACGTACAACAAAAATAAAAAAGATGGACGATAAATAAGGGAGTTCACTTCTCAGCCATTAGCCGCCTCTTTGCAGTATATTTTCGGATGGTTTTTATGGTTGTATTCTCATTTTTTTGGACTCGTTTGATAGAATGGAAGATATATTACAGAAATAGACATGATTTTGATTGTTTTCATGACGAACAGTACCTTGAAATTGAGCTCAAATTAGCAGAAATGTTCGATTTTTGCTGATGTTCAATGAACTTTGTGCAAGTCAAGTGAATTCTAACCTAACCACTCTGTAATCCGGAAAACTCAATAATCCAGCACACTACAGGT